ATCCATTATTGTAGATTTTTATTTCATTCCCTCCTAATAGCAAATCGCCTTACTAGAGATTGGATATTGGATTATTAAGATTAAAAATATATTTAAAGGTAAACAATTATGTGTTCTATATAAAAAAATGACAAAAAGGAAAATGAGACTTGTTATTCCCTAAATTGAGTCTTATGAGAATGAGGACACATGGATGTATCCTAAAAGATTTCTATCAAGATTAGATAAATTAAATTCTTTTAAAATTAGAATACTCAAACACCAACTTAAGTAAACTTGTAATGTTAGGGTGACTTTATGTAATATCTTATAAATATCTCAATATTAGACTTAGGAAGGGGATTATAATTTTTCTCAATTCTCTCTTTATTATAAGCTCTCTCCATCTTTGATCAATTGAGTACTTGGTTCCACATAATCTCTTTTATTTTTTAGTGTTAATAGGACTACAAACGCTATATCTTGGGTATAAAAAAATGTATACAACAATTTTTGGGTGAAGAAAATTTGGATATTGATATATGTGATTGTGAAAAATTAAGATATATATTCTAATAAAAAATGAAACAATGCGCGCACAGCTTCTCAAAAATAAAACTAATGAAATCAACTAACTTTTGAATGATTGAAGTTAAGATATTAGCATATTTGTGTCCGTATTTGTAGTTGTTTTCATTCTAGGGATGATCAAGAGACTTGATTTGGTTGATTATTAAACGAAGATAGCAACAATATATCCATTATCAATGGAATTGGGATTGACAACAATTTTTGTTAGATTTTGAATCAATTTTAAATCACCTTAGCTATCAAGAGTTTAAATTGTAAAATAAAATGAAAAGAAAGTGTAAAGACAAACAATTATGTGTCCCACTTAAAAGATGACAAAAGAAAAAAAATGAGACAATACATGTAGTGTCTTGAAAATAAAGTAATGTAAACAATAATTTTTTGAGTGATGAAAGGTTTTTCTTCTTTTCTTTTTCTTTTTTTTTTAGTCTATAAATAAAAAAATTTTATTTAAAAGGTATAAAGTACACAAAACGCATTTACATTTGAGTCAACCCATCCAGATAAGAGTCAACACATAACTCCATCTCACAATGCGTTGCAATTGAATGTCCCCACCATAGATAGGATGCAGACCATATCCCCGATGAATTTACACTACCAAACAAGAGAAGGTTTGGGTGATGAAAATTTAGACACTGGTCTATTTCTTTATGTACTTGTATGTATTTTTTTTTTCTAAGGATGATTAAGAGAACGGGTTGATAAGTTTATCTTATCATAGATTTTTGTTGGATTTGTTACAAATTGCAAATCTCCTTACTAGAGTTTGGATATTCGACTATTAAAATTAAAAATAGGTTTAAAAGTAGACAATTATGTATTCTACCCAAAAAGATGGCGAAAGGGAAAAAGGGACCACAAATGCTACATCTTGGGGATAAAAATAATGCACAAAACAATTTTTTGTGTAATGAAATTTTATATATTGATATATGAGACTGAGAAAAATTAAGATATTTTAATAAAAATTAAAACAATACACAACATCTCAAAGATAGAACTAATGTAAGAAGCTAACTTTTGGGCGATGAAAGTTAGGATATTAGTATATTTGTTTCCGTAATTGTAATTGTTTTCATTCTAAGGATGATCAAGAGGTTTGATGATTTGGTTAATTATTAAAGGAAGATAGCAACAATATAATATAACCCTTATCAATGGAATTGAGATTCAAAGCAATTTTTCGGTTAGGTTTTGAACTAATTTCAAATCAACCTACCTTACACGATAAAATGAACAATTATGGGTTCCACTTA